CATGGAATCATGCAAATTAGAGACATTAAGCACATTACTCTAACATCCTAATTATCCATTCAACTACTCTCGTTATGAATATTAAACCCTTAATTGATCTATTCAAATCCGTTAAAACCCAACTCTCGCTGCGATTAAAACAATGGAATAATAACAATACTAATTATCTCTAATCTAGTATTGGCATAAGCGCAATCAATTAAGCATGAACAATATAAATAATTAATTGAGAATTTAAAAGAATAAATCAAGTATTAACCATATTAGGGTTCAACCTAAATCTAGAACAACAATCTACTCTAACATATTAACAAAAAAAACAAGAACAATAAATAATAAAGAAAACATGAATAAATAAAGAGATTAAAAGAAAATACCGAATCTTGAATTGAATTGAAGGAAGAAAGCTTGAATCTTGAATTACAAAAGTAAAGGAAATAAAAATAGAGAACTAGTTCTTAATAATAGGAATTGAAAAATAAAATAAACTTAATTAATTAATAAAACACCACTTAGTATATAAATAGCCCTAGAAAAGATAAGAAATTCGGCAAAAAGCTTGGCACACAAGGATCCCAGGAGGCACGGACGTGCCTAGTGTGAGGCACGGACGTGCCTCTCTAAAAACAAAAACGCTGCTGAGTCTGTCTTCCAGGCACGGACGTGCCTGATGCTGGGCACGGACGTGCCTGCTTCTTTACCTAGGCACGGACGTGCCTCTTCTGCTAGGCACGGACGTGCCTAGGGTCTTCCTTTGGCGCAACTTCTGGCACAGAGGCACGGACGTGCCTGATAGGGAGGCACGGCCGTGCCTACCTCTAAAATGCCATTTTCTTGACTTTTCTTCAATCTCCAAGCTCCATGGGCTTTGACTTACTTCGTGGATTTATAATTCATCCAAAATCATCAAAAACAACAAAACTACCCATAAAAGCATCGGATTAATCAAACTAGAGCAAAATACGCCAAAACGGACTCAAATACTCAACTAAACTAACAAAACTAACTAAAAACCAACCAAATAACATACACAAAACACGACTTATCATTCTGCAAGATAAATTTCCTGATAGTTTGCTCTAAGATGTTCGAGGCTGCTTTAGCCTCGATCCATTTGCTGAAATAGTCAATGTCAACTATCAGCCATCATTTTTGGTACGAGGCAATAGGAAAAGGTCCTAAGATATCCAGCCCCCATTGGGCGAATGGAAGTGGATTCAGGATTGGGTGAAGATCTCGGGCTGGCTGATGGATGACTAGCGCAAATTTTTGACATTTCTCGCATTTTTTGACCAGCTCCTTAGCATATGAGATCATGGTGTGCCAATACTACCCTGCCCTCAGTGCCTTGTGGGCTAAAGCTCTCCCCCCGATGTGGTTTCCACAGATGCCGAGGTGGATCTCCTGAAGGATGTAATCAGCATATGTTGGTCCCATGTATTTTAGCAATGGGGCTGAAAAGGATTTTTTCAGCAATTCTCCTCTGAAGACGATGAACCTTGAGCTGATTCATTTCAGTTTGGAAGCCAAGTTCCTGTCTTCGGGAATTTCTCCTCGAAGCTTGTAAGCTAGGATGAGGTCCATCCAGCTCGACTCGTGTGAGACGCAGCAAACCTCAGGCACTTCGTCCACACTTCTTTTTTCTTTTTCATATTTTCGTTGATTTCCTGGTAAAGTAAAATCGAGGCTTAAATACAAATACAAATACAAATTCCTTAATTTTTTCCTATCATTTCCAAACTTACAAATTGTTATCGCATTAACTTTAATGCAATTTTTTAAGTTCGATAGATTTTTCAGCTATAATAACCATCTTAATTTACCTTGGTTAACAAATACATATGCTAAACGGTATGCGTGCATCGCGTACGGCAAAAAAAAACTAGTATATAAAAATATTTCAATCAAAATTTAATGAAATAATAGACTTGGTATATATAGTGTTGTTTAGATTTTTTTTTTATTAAAAACAGAAAAGAAAGAATGTTGAGAGAAAAAACAACACCAAAAAAAAGATATTTTTCATTTATGGTGTTTGTTTTAAATCGAATTATGTTATTGATTGATGATTTAATTTATAGTGATAGATATTTTGGTAGGTTACATAATGCAAACCCGTGTCGGTGTGTATTTACATTGTAAATTTATATTTCGTAATTAATAATTGCCTACAAATGCTACAACCATGAAATTATGATAGATATCTCTATTGGTTGTTGCATTCTATAATTGTGAAGCATCGCATTTTAGTTGGCAAGTTTTATACATGCACACATTACTAAAAAAGTAATACTAATTACCCCCTTAACCAATTTATCAATCGGGCATACGAATATGATAAAGTAGTTGTAACTTATCTGATATGGGTGGTGTTCTATTGATGACCACAAACTTAATAGGGACCTTTTGTTGTTAATGCGGACCCTTGATTTATTTGATTAGTTATAATTATTTGCTAAAAGCATTCGTTAGAGATATGAGATCAAATCATATCGGAAAATATATGTGTTATATATTTTATTATCAAGAGAATAATATATGTTTCGGGTAAAAACAATGGGACCTTTGACAAGGTCCTTTTCTGTGGGCCGAAGACTGATCTCGGTCCAAGTGATGATTGGGCTGAGAGTTTCTAGCGCAGCAGACACACGTGAACTGCCCTCGGGGGTGTTGCCGAGAAAGGCCCCTCCGATGCCGAAGTCAGTAAAGTGTTTAGAGAGAGAAAGCTATGCAATAATATTAATTGTTTGAGGCTTAATGTGTGTATTTCCCTAGAGAGAGAGGTTTGAAGACCTTTATACATTTTCTCAATAGATAAGTGAGCCGTGAATAAAGTGGACTTGCCATCTTGACCGGGCCTTAGCTGACTTGACATGGTTTGGAGAATTGAATCTTAGTCTTGGGCTTTATAATTAAATCATTTATGAACCGACCCAATTGAAGTAAATTGGACCCAAACAATATATTTAGCTTTATTTATGTTAATATATTATTTAGTGAATATATATCTTTAGGATTTATAATTATGGTGGTATATCTTATAAGAAGATTATTTCCTATCTTATTATCTTAGGTTTTTGTATAAATATTCTACCTATCGATGAATAATAACCAAGCCATACTATTATCTCTTTCCCTTAAATTTCTCATCGGGAAATCTATATTAAAATGGAGTTTTTAGGAGAATTTTCCCACTTAAACTTTACTTTACCCCCTCCTTTTATTTTACAAAATTATTAATTTTTCTTAAGGAACTTCAATATTTATTATTATGTTTTACTATAGAATTACATTTCTTTTGCTTAGAGAGTTCTATATTTCAAATTTTCAATTACCATCAATTTCAAAAACTAGCATGGCTTGGGAATTATATATCTAGTTAAATGACTACATTGCTAAAATGTATCTATCCATCTATAATTATACTAAAATAGAGGACACTCAACCTAAAACTTGACACATGTTGCTCTCACAATGAAAATTTTCCCGCTTAATTACATAATATTATTTATGGTAATTCTAAAATTTATTGCAATATATTAATGTGCAATCTAACGAATATTTTTAGTCATACTAATAATCACTAATTGATCTCATGATAATATTTTTTAATTTGATGCAAAATTGATCTCATGATGATGTAATTTAAGTAAGTTGTACAATTTAGAATAATTATTTAAATACCAGTGTTAAATCATGCTATGATATTTCTAGGAGCTATATATGTTAGAGCGTAACTTTTGATTTTCATTGCATCATTATTATTAAAAAATTGCTTTGATAAGTAAATTATATATATGAACTTATTAAACCGTGCAATTGCACGGGAACTATACTAGTTGATTGTACTGATTTACGCGTGATTTTATCATGCATTCCTAAATTTATACCAAATTAGAAAAGACATCAAATGCTTATTGTTAGCCCTAAGGGCTACATATAGTATTACCTTATTTTTGTTGGTAGGTAAGATGTAGGCCCTATCGGACTGATACCCCTCACGGTCAACCCAACCCGGGTTAGCAGCCTAGACAATTTGAGAGAATGGGGGAAACGTAAAGGAATCCCACCCTCCAAATTATCGCTAATAGGGATTGAAGCTCCAACTTCATGGTTAGAAGGTTGGAAGGTGCTCTTCAAACCTCCATTAAACCAAGCTTAATTAGCTTTGTAACAAGTATATACATATGGTGAGGAGTTTCCACCATCTCCATCAAGAAAGCTTAATTACATACATATATGGGAAAACCCCTTTTATTATCTTAGGTACCGCTCCTACCCCGCACTTTTCCATGCATTTTTTTGAAACAATAGTAGCAATAGTCTACAATACGCGAGTTGAACTTTCGAAAATGGATGAAGTATGTATATATATGCATTATGTGTGTATGTATTGGGTGTGTAATTGGTGTATATTTGAATACGGGTCAAATCCAAATCGATTAGAGTTAAAATTCGGTTGTGAAAAATTGAGTCCAATCTTATTCGAATTTTCAAAAATCTAATTTAATCCAATCTAAATTAAATTTCGGCACTATGGATCCAATCCGAATTACAGCCGATCAAATATAATTTTTATGTAATTTACGTGGAAAATATTATTTTAAATTGAAAACCTTTTTGAAACTGGGGTCCTCTATTTATGATATGGGTCTTCTTGCACAAGCCCATAACTGCCCTTGCCAAATACAACTATGCACACTAATAGTGAATTGGTTGATATACACACGAAGTACACGTTATATACTTATATACTTGTGTCACAATTCATAAATTGAATCAATTCATATCATAGAGCGTTCTTTAATCACACTATTCTTTATGGCTATGATTATGATGCTAGGTATTGCTATTATTCTTACTACCCTCTTTTTTCTTGTTAGTAAAACAAGTAAGTTTTGGTTTAATAATTCAAAGCTTCCTCGAGGCGAAAATGGATGGCCATTACTAGGGGAAACCATGAGCTTTATTTCATGTCCGGCTAAATTTATGTAAGAGTAATGGATATAAAGGCACAAGAGCATTTGAAGGCGCATTGGCTATCTTTTAACGAAGTCAAGGCCCAATTGATATCCAAAGAGTTTGTTTTTTCGCTTGCTTGTCATGTATTTATCGGGTGCAATTCAGATGCAATTAGGGAACTTGCCAAGCCCTACTACACCTTAGCCGATTGGCTTCTTTCCGTGCCAGTGAACTTGCCTGGGACACCCTACAACCAGGCTTTGAAGGCGTCTAAGGTTGTTCAAGGAAAGCTTCTAGATTTGATCAAGAGGAGAAAGGCAGTATTATTATCAAAGGCGCCAAATAATCACCAAGATATTAAAATCGATGTTCAAGACCTATTGAGTCGAGTTCTTATTACGGCTATGAATCATCAAGATTACAACTTAATAAGTGATGAAGAGTTAGTTGGTCATATTATTGCTCTCTTATTTGCTGGGTTTAATACGAGGGAGCCTCAGTTCCTCATCATGAGGAACACTTTTGTTCCTCATCATGAGGAACACTTTTGTTCCTCATAATGGCATTTTGGAAAATAATGTGATGTTTTTTACTAGTGGGGACCGTCTATGTGTCATGAGTGGAACTCTATGAGCTTGATACATACCCCATGAGTAGAGCTGTCAATTCAGGTAAACAGGTCAGGTTTGGGTCGGGTAAGTGTGGGTCGGGTCATTTCGGGTTAATGTCGTAACTTATACGGGTCGGGTTCGGGTTGGGTCATGGTTGAGTTGGGTAACGTCGGGTCATACATCTTATCGGGATTGGGTCGGGTTAAAAAACAGGTCGGGTGAATAATAGGTCGGGTTTAATTCGGGTTTTCACGGGTTAAAACGGGTTTGGGTCATTCTCGAGTTCGAGTCAGGTTCGGTTCAAGTCAATAATTTGCGGGTTATAATCAAGTCGGGTCATTCTCGGGTTTGAGTCGAGTTCGGTTAAAGTCAATAATTTGCAGGTTATAATCAGGTCGGGTCATTTCCAAGTCGGGTCATTCTCAGGTTCAAGTCGGGTTCGGTTCAAGTCAATTATTTGCGGGTTACAGTCAGGTCATTTACAAGCGGGTCATGTTCGGGTTCAAGTCGGGTTTGGTTCAAGTCAAAAAATTGCAGGTTATAATCAGGTCGGATCATTTCCAAGTCATGTCATGTTCAGGTTCGGGTCTCAATATTGGGTTAATCTGGGTATCGGGTTGATTTCAGGTCGGGTCATATCAGGTTCGGGTACTTTTTTTGGGTCGGTTTGTTAACAGTTCATGTAATGACATTCACGTTTAATCATTATCAATTACTTCATTTATTGTAAGAGAAATAATTTCAGATAAGTTTAAATTTAAGGTAATAAGTTCTAATAAGTTTAGATAAGATCTACATAATAAGTTCATATTAATTCCAATCAGATAGGTTTAGTTTAGATTTTTAGAAGATAAGTTCAAACCCTATTCTAATATATTCACATTGATTCCACTCATTTTAGGGATAACAATTTCAGATAAGTTCATATTCGAGATGACATGTTTAAATAAAATACAATAAGTTCATATAAATTCGGATAAAATAGGTTTAGTTTAGATAAGTTAAAATACAATAATTTTTTTTTCTAAACTTATTTTATTTGAAATTATCTAAACTTATTTATTTTTTATAAGTTCATATCCGAGTTCACGTTTTTTTTAATGGAATTTTTTTTAAAAATATTTAAATGACATTATTTAAAACATTTAAATAAGATTAAATAGGCAAATGAATAATAAAATTAGAAAAATAAAAGACCAATAAAAGCCTTTTAACAGCTCTAGTTCGGGTCACCACTTTCTCGAGTCCAGACAAGTCAAGTCATGATCAGGTACAGGTAAATTATTTGGGTCAGATTATAATCGGGTCATTGTCATATACTCATGCTCGCATCATTATACGAAATTATTTTTTTTTAACTTTTTTTTATTTGATTTTTTTTTTTTTTATTTATAAAATATAAGATAAAACAAACAAGCCTAAGGTCAAATAGTATTTGTAAACCGTAGTTGACTACATTAATGCACATGCACCTACAAAGTAGTAGTATTCGTAAACCATAATTGCTTAATTAAAATATAGAATGAAGTTGCACCTAAAAAGTAGTAGTATTCGTAAATCGTAATTACTAAATTTAAATAAAGAATGCACATGCATCTAAAAAGTAGTGGTATTCATAAATTTTTATAGGTTTTTTAAGACATATAAATTGTAATACATTTGATAATAGAGAATTTAATTGAAAATATTTGAATAAGCTTAAATAGGAAAATAACTCATAGAATTAGAGAAAAAAAAAAAAAAGATATGACGTAATCCTAGATTGCTAGTTAATTTCGGGTCAATAACAAGTCGGGTTGATTTCGGGTCGGGTTAGTGACAGATCAGGTTGAATTTTAGGTCGGGTTAGTAATAGGTCGGGTTAAATTCGGGTCGAGTTAGTAATAGAACGGGTTAGGAATAGGTCGGGTTAAATTCGGGTTTTGACGGGTTAAAACGGGTTTGGGTCAATTTCGGTTCAGGTCGGGTTCGATTCAAGTCAATATTTTACGGGTTATATTCGGGTCGAGTCATCTCCAGGTCGGTTCATGTTCGAGTTTGGGTCTCAAATACTCGGGTTAACTCGGGTCTAGGGTTGGTTTCAGGTCGGGTCATATCGGGTTCGGGTCATCATTTTTCCGGGTTTAGACGGGTCGGTTAATAATCAGGTTCGGGTCGGTATTTTAGGTCGGGTCAGCTTTTGACAGCTCTAGATAAAAGTCCTTCGGACAGGCCTTATTCAGATCTGTGAAGTCAACGCACATTCTTCAAGTGTCATTTGCCTTCTGAACCATCACCACATCAGCCAACCATTCTGGGTATTGACAACCATTCTGGGTATTGACAAGGCTCAATAAAGCCTGCATCCAAAAGTTTTTTGACTTCCGCTCCGATGTTCTGGTCTTTTCACAATGAGAAACAGGGAATTACCCCTAAATAATTAAACAAAAGAAAATATTTCCTTTCTTCGTTACATTAACATTACGTTTATGAAATTTTTTAATTCATATGTGGGCTTGCGACCAAGCATCTTCAACACAAGATAACTAGATAAGCAAAATAATGAACTAGAGCAAAAGAAAAGGTTGTACTATATAAAATATACATATTATAGGACAGAGGAGTAGTATAAAACAAATTACGTATTGTAAAATTATGACGAAAAATAAAATAAACATATTTTGGGACAAAAGGAGTAATATAAAACAAATTAACGTACTGCAAAATTATGATGAAAATAGACATCTTAGTCATGCCATGAACGGTTCAAGGTCTTCAAATAGTGGCGGATTCAGAATTTTGTGGGTGGTGATGGGTCATTATTGTACACCGACAACATACAAATCATCAATAATGCATTGTTTAAAAAAAATAAAAAATAAAAATACTCTGTAATAAATATTACCCCCTCTGTTATTTTTATTATTTACATTGGGTATTATTCATAATGATTAAGAAAGAGTACTTAAAGTGAAGATACTTTTATATTTTAATTAATAAATGAAGTACTTGGTAAGTAACTAAGTATTGCTTTTATGATTACCTTAATTAAATGAAGACAAGGGAAGGTATGGGATAAATAACTGGATAAACATAAAATTAATAATAGCATTTTTTTTTTAAGTAAAAGTAGGAATACATATAGTTGGAGTATTATGTACAGTTTTTTTAATAAAAGAATGCGTAAAATAAAAAATGCTCGAAACAAAATACGTAAAAGGAATAAAAAATGTACATATTACAACCATTAAATAGGTTAAACAATCCAATTTATCAAATTAATAGATACTCAATAGTAACAATTTGAATTAGATCAAATAATCAAATTTTATGGTGATTATTGATGATCACATACTATTAGATTACTTATTCCCAACCAAAAAAAACCAAAAAAAAAAAAAAAATGATGACCCACCTAGACCAAGCTTTCAAAAAAAAAAAAAAAAAAACTTGCATCCGCCAATGTCTTCAAACCTGAAATAAGAAATTAAGTTTTGTACAATGTTTGAATATTGAGTTGCGGGACAATAAATTTTGAGTTGGCTGTCATTTACAGTAGAAACGGTAGAAAACCGATTATTTATAGTCACTCAAGTAGTCAAATATTCATAATTACAAAATTTAGAAACAAGTGATGGTAAATATTTTTCTGCCCACCTTTTTTGGAATATATGTTAGTCAATGATTCTGTAAATCATAGCCTAATTATTCTCTCTATTTTAACGGATACAATCACTCTTATAGCTTATATTGACAAAGTGTATTACTTATTTGACTTCAATTATCTTTTTATCAAGTGTAAAATAGACTTTTGTTGGTATAATGAAGAGTGCCCCAAAGACTATCATCACTGATCAAGATCCTTGAATGTGTAAAGCAATTGAAATTGAAATGCCAACTACAAAACATAGTTATTGTATATGGCATATCACATCAAAATTCAGTTGTTGGTTTGCAACACTTTTATGAGAGGATTATCAAAAATGGTGTGCTGATTTTTACAATCTTTATAAAATGACTCTGACGGAAGAATTTGAGCATAGTTGGACTTTGATTGTTGCGAAGTATAACCTGCAAGAGAATAAACATGTTCAAGGCTTGTATAATGTGAGATATTTTTGGGCCCCGGCTTATCTTAGAGATTATGTTTTTGGAGGCATGATAACCACCGGAAGATCAGAGAGCATAAACGCTTTTTTTAAGAGATTTGTTTCCTCTCATGTATCTTTGACAAACTTTGTGAAACAGGTTCATATCCTTCTTCTTTAAATTATATTTCACTACTACTTTAATTATTTCTAATAGTTCATGTTACAACTTGTCATTTTTAATTTGTTATGTAGCCCTTGCTGTTCAAGAAATTTGCCAAGGACAATTACATAGCAATGTGGTTGCTACTCTCAGACCCATAAGCATGAAAACAAAGTCACCATTGGAAGGTCAGGCTTTTGAAGTCTTCACTCCATTTGCTTTCAAAAAGTTTCAAGATGAATTAATAAAAGCAAGTCAATATTCTATAATCCAAATAGGAGGTAATGTATGCATTGTAAGATACTTTTAAAGGGGAAAAGGGTATATAAATTGTAGAGTTTTTTGGGATGGAACGACAATGTCATGCAGTAGCAAAAATTTCGAATTTTGGGGTATACTTTGTCGTCATATATTTCGAGTGTTGTTGCATAATGATTGTTTCAAGATCTCTTCCTCCTATCTACCTCTACGATGGCATTGTGATAGGTTGCAACCTACAATTGATAATCAAGAGATAATAAGAGAAGCCATGATATTGGAGGAAGACTTCGAAAACACAATGACATTAGAGTCGGTAAAGATGATGTACTGTGTCCCCCTAAATCCAAAACAAAGGGACGTCCACCAAAGAAGCGTGAGCAGGGTGGAAAAGAATCATGAAAGAAGAAAACTAAATGTTGTTCTATAAGCAAGCAACCCGGTCATACTAAACCGACCTGTCCTAATAAGGAAAATATATTTTCTTTGATGATACGAATGAAGGTGCTTCTTCTACAACACAAACAAAAAAAAAAAAAAAAAAATGGCAGCTGATCTAGGATTAAATCCTATTTTTACTTTGAAGTTTTAGGTAATACTTCTTTTCCTTTTAGAATTTTCAGATTGTATTTTACCTAATTATTCTTTTCTATTCTTTTTTACAAAAAATTTATATAGACATTTTCTCTTTTGTACTTTGACAGGTGATCTAATTGGAAAATTATTAAAGATGTCTAAAAAAATTTTGAACTACATCAAGATGCGTCATGAAGATGTGAAATGGAGATTTTTATGTACTACTTATTAATAGGTGGTTATTAACTTCTTTTTCTTTTTTTTTTTCTTGAAAGGTGGTGGGATATTAACCAAAAATGTTGATTTTTTGAAGAATGCGGAAAAAAAAATTTGCAGGAGTTTATAATCAATTTATTATATTTAATTTTTCTCTTTAGTATCATGTTAGTGGTTTTTTACTGTCCTTCAAAAGAAATTAGTTTCAATGCATTATTAAATATAGTGTTATGACAATTTATGCTATCAATAATACTACATTAAATGAATCAGTTTTTTAATTCAATAATAATATTAGATTTCGGTGGAATAAGAAAAAGAGCATTAATACTATGAAATTGTTGTCTTTTATGCATAGCCCTTAAGACTATGTATAGCAAAATCCTTAATTTATACATTTCCAAAAAGAATTACCTTGCAATTGAAAAGTAAATTGAGAAATTAGAATAGCCAAAAGTCTTCAAAAAGCTAAAAACCAATCAAATAGCTATTCTTTAAACAAGGTAGATGTTTTTGTAAATTGTAAGGCACTAATAACCCTAGTCTTAAGGACCCGTCTGGTTTATCTCCGAAGTATAGATTCATATCGCTCTCAAATGTATAAATTCATATCGCTCTCTAATATATAGGGACATTGTTGTTACAACAAGACATGTTAGTGTTTATCACAATGTGCATATCTCAGAAATAAATTGGTACAAAGAACAATTATTTGCCGCGATTCATCTGTTGTAACTTGGTAACTTATCCAATATGCAGCAAAATATGCCTCAAATTTATGTTTTTTACACAGCAGAAAAAAAAAGTCACAATCGATACTAGTACAATTTTGAACGGTATGGCTTAATTGTTTGACAACTGGTTCAGCAATTACAAGCTTAATAAAGCTGCTCACCTAGCAAGTTATTGATCAACAGACTTTTCATCGGCAGATTTGGGCACACACAAGCAGCTTGAACTGGAATGACCACAGTACAATGTTTATATATAGTATAGTACTTTCTTTTCTTTTTTTTTTTTTTTTTTTTTTTTGGTAAGTAAGCAATTTTATTACCAAAAGGAAAGAGGGCAAGCCCTCGCCCAAACTACAACAGTTTTAAAGAGCCATACAAACATCACACAAAAAAACGAGGCTAAACAAAAGAACCTAGGAAAGAAAACAGTACACCAAGCAAACCACTACCTAGGAATACAACGTTTAAGATCATAGAGCCATTTACAATGCTCCTTCTTCCATTTACTACTAATAAGCTGCTGAAATCTGTCAGTAATAGAGGTACACAGTCTGTTACAAAGCTTCTTGGGGTCATAAGATTCTTTATCAGATATCAAGAAAAATATGGTAGACTAGCTGATATTTATATCAGTTAATGAAAAAGCCCAATGCAAAAAAATGCATGTTGGGTTTTTGAAACAGTTCAAATATGGAGAACAGCTTTATACCAAAGAGCTTCATTCCTTTCCATCCATATAAAGTAAACAAGTCCTGCCAGCACAGCATAGTATAGTACTTTCAATGGTCTCAGTTGCCAGCATAAATTTCTGTGATAATCATCAACACATCGGCAGATGTACTGGTCCCAGGCAACCTCGTATAACATATCGGTCCCAGGCAACAACTAGTCGTAGCATCAGAGTAAAAGTAGTCGATGACAAATGATGAATATTTAACTAATAAGGAGAAGCATTAGGACTTATCATTCTCTGGTTAACATAAAAACCGAAATACTATATTAGCAATCAAAGTTCGACAAGAAGCTAGTTACTTCGTATAATATATATCTGAGGTTATTACCCTTCGTGTGTAATTTGATCAGCTAATATGAACCTCACAAGCACATTAAAAGCTTAAAACAGCTTTTATACCATTTTAGATGCACAATAGTACTATAATGATCATGAAGGCGGCAAGGCAGTGTCAAGCACGACTAAGAAAACAATAGTAGGTAAAAAATGTAACAAATATGGGTTAGTAAGCTATCAACAAAAATGTAATGCACAAAAAGGAATTCAACTGTCAGGGTTAATTACCTCCCACAAAGTTTGCACTTATGAGTATTGGGTGAGAGTTTCAAGATTTCATCATAGGCAGTAGAGTCAGCATCTGACATGTCGTGGTCCTGCAGCAAGACCATACTCAGCTCCTTTATATTTTTCAAATTTGTTGCTATTGTTTGTGCATTCTGCTACATCTCGTACTTAATTTTTCTCTCAAATCTTCATACTATAATATCAGCTAAGTTGTTTCCCTTCCATCACCACAACATTCAGAGGTTAGAAAACCCGTTCATTGGATTTCGTAGCCTCTCAGCAACAAACTGCAGCATTACCCATTTCCCTACAGAAAAAATCCTTATTGATAAGAGAATGAAGCCACAATTGAAGATAGCAACAAATGGAGGCAAACAGGAAAATGATGAAGCAGAACCAGTATCTCCTACTGGACAATACTTCAACAGCAAAGTGTTGTCTATTTGTATCATTGCCGTTCTGGAAACTGAAGTTCCCGTAAATGAATCTTGTGTAATGCCACAACTTCGAGATGTCTTCCTACCCCTGAACCCCAGATTTTCATCTGTCATGGTAATATCTTCTTCTAGTCTTTTGTTATTCAACTTTAAACAATCACTAACATAAACCTAAACAAAAAAAGTGTCCCTAACTAGTTAATATATGGCTTCTAGCAGGCATCTGACAAGAAAGATGTAAAACAATGGAAGCGAGTGGAAGTGAACCTGCAAGATCATGTTGTTGTCCCTAGCTTCCCTGATGGCTTATCGGTTGAGTCATATACCGATTACTTCGATGAATATCTGACGAAAATCACTGGGGATCAATTACCACAAGATAGGCCTTTATGGGAACTTCACATATTTAAGTACCCAACAAGCAAAGCAGCTAATCATATAATCTTTAAGCTTCACCATTCACTTGGTGACGGCTATTCTCTGATGGGCGCACTTCTGTCCTGCCTGCAAAGAGCAGATAATCCTTCTCTTCCAATAACTTTTCCTTCAACTCAAACAACCAAAAAAATCAAGAACAATAATGCAATGGAGTTCATCAACTGGATGCCAAGAATTATGTCGTCAATCTACAAAGGAGCCTGTGATTTTGGATGGAGTTTTCTTAAAAGTACTTGCAAGGCAGATGATAAGACACCCATCAGATCTGAGAATAAGGGTCTGGGCTTCAACCAAATCAAGATTTCTACTATAGAATTACCCCTAGACCAAATTAAACAGATCAAAACAAAACTAGGCTCAGTAAGTTCTCCTTTTCTCTTCTTGTTATTTTACCCCATTAAAGTATATACTTTTATTTCAGATTAGAAAAAAATGGCTTAATATATAAATTAAATAAAACCAACTATCTATTATAGCATGACCATTGTAAAATGAAGAGAGCTTAGGAAGCTTAAAACACATATCTATACTCCCACCATATAATCATGAATCAACATAATAACAATTGCCCAATATTAACCCGTCTCATGAGGTCTAGATGTATGCAGAACTCATCCATAGTTGATCAGAATGGGTAGAAGCAATCGTAGATAACAAATGTTCAAAGGGATGTTGTGAAAGTCTGTCACTTTTGACCAATCATTTTAATCCTTAAGAATGTAGTAAATTGAATAGTGACAATAAACTGGCTGTCTTATCATAACTAGTTTGGCTACCAACCTATGAAAGTTTTTAGAGCATAAGCAACTCTAAAATATTTCCAAAAGGATTAAACAAGGTGAACAAAAAACAACATAATCAATTCGGAAATTATGAATATGTTTAACTTTAACACATTGGTTGGATGGGGGGAAATGAAGAGAAAGAAAGGGAGGGGGACAAGTCACCTTGTTTGGTTAATGGCTTAAGGGAAGGATGGGGAGGGAGAGGAAGAGATTCATTTTCCCTCTTCTTTTAATAAACACTATCCCTCCAAAATTGGAGAGATTTGGAGGGAAAATGAAGCTCGGCATTCCCCCTCCCTTTCTTTCCCCTTCCCTTCCTCCTATTTCCTTCCCCTTCCTTTCCCTTCTAAATTGTTATCCAAACATGCTGTAAAAGTCACACTTTCTTTCTCCCAAACTCCATAATAAATGTTGTTCTGCAGAAAGGATCATGTATGAAAGGGATATCTGTGCAGGTTAGGAATTATACTAACAAGTTCAGATTTATAAAGACTTTGCTAAAAAACTTCAAGAAAATAACAATCTAACAAAATTAGTATTCCTTAAGTCAGTGAAAGATACGCGTCATTAAAGGGTCATCAGTTCTGACTTTATCGTGTTTACTTCTTGTAGACAGTAAATGACACTGTTGCAGGCATAATATTCCTCGGTGTTCGAAGATACATGCAAGAAACTGACATAGAATCCAGCAATTCGCAATCAACAGCATTGGTGCTTCTCAACACAAGGAACGTTGGAGGTTATATGTCAGTAGAGGAAATGGAAAAAACACATTCATGGGGGAACCAATTTGCATTTTTGCATATAATGATGCCTGAATTAATCAACGATAAAAACTCCAACATTCTGGATTTTATCTATAAAGCACATAACCAAATCATGAGGCTCAGGAATTCACCAGCAGTCTATCTCACCGCTCAGTGCCTAGAGCTTATAAGGAAATGCAGAGGACCTGAGGTACATAAATGACCAAATTTCTTTATGCAGATATATCTCCTTTTACATTCTTCCTGATCACGCTTAGTCTTTGATCTCGATTTAAGTTAAACTGTAAAAGTGAGGTAATGACACACTAAAACTTATTACACACGATGAGACGTGTGTTTGATCATTACTATCTTAAAATGTCTATTAGTAAAATTCCAGAAAATTGATATTATAAAAATATACATTGTGATTAATCCAATAACATACTATACAATAACATTGATTTTTGTTTTATATACAAGTATACAGAAATGAAGTCAAAGCTAATATGTGAAAAGTGCAAAAAATCATAGTGTCACTTAAAAAAACAGAGGGTGTAATTGACAATAGATACCTACATAGTACCAGTGTTCCCTGATTTCCCAAGGCAGTTTAAGGAATCAGTTTGTAGATTATAAATTAAAGGAAGCTATGGTTGATGATAAGGAAGTTGAGAGTTAACATAAAATATTTATCTATTGTCTTAAGCTTGGAGGGTGGTAGTTCCCTAACAAACAAGTATTTTGTTGAAAAAAATTATTGTTTTGACTTGGGAACACCAGGAAATTTTGAAGCATGGTTATATTGTCTTTCAGGCAGTAGCTGAACTCGTCCATAGTACACTGAATAAATCAAGCATGGCAATAACAAACATGATAGGTCCAGTTGAACAAGTGACGTTGGCTGATCATCAAATAAAAGGCATGTACTTCATGGTTGTGGGCAGCCCTCAGGTAAGCAAAGCAAAATGTAGTCATCTAGTCATTCAGACAATGTTATACTTCCAATTTTTTCTCTTCGTGACTTCAAGTATTTAAACCAACTGAAAGACCTTTCCATGTCATTTTGTAAAACAAACCTTCAAAAAAAGAATCTAACTTTCTTTTATCATTGTTACACTGTAACTGTAAGAGTCGACATTATGTAATCTCTCTAATTATTTCATATGAAAACAGCTCAGTTCTCTTACTTACACATTATTTATCTTGATTCTTCACATTTACTATCTGATTAAAAATCTATGCACATAACCAACTATAAAATCTCTATTTGTGTCAGCAATCTATTTCCTGTAATTGACTCTTTAGCTTGCTTTTTCTACCAATAACGGTTCTATGGTTGGGATTTTCAGAGCCTGGTAATAACAATTATGAGTTATGCACAAACTTTGAGGATTGGAATAGGAGCTGAAAAGGGCTTCATAGATTCACAGAGGTTGAACTCGTGCATCAAGAATGCGTTCAACTTAGTATCAGAGGCAGCTACAAAGACCGGATAAGATCATCAAACAACGAAAAATGGTCAACAATGATCTCTAGCCTTTTAAATCAAGAATTAGTTCAACTACTATTTAAAATGTGAGTGTTGGTATGGGATGGATGTGACTCTGCTCAGATATTTCAGTTAGCTATAATCTTTTGGTCATTTATAAAGGTTGTCTTTGTTCATTGCTCAACTTTTATCTATATAAGCTTGTATTTTTAAGAAGGGTATCCATCCTATTCTGGGTTCAAACAAAAATTCTTTCACATTCTTTTTCCCATCCATGAGTCTACACATGAGGCATGCGGGGAAGAAAATGTGAGAAAAACACAACAGTGACTCTAGCATGAAGTAAACGAATAAGGTTATACCCCTACAGTAATCAAATGAAGCATACTCTACCTAGAAATACTTGATGTTGGTTCTTTATGGCTCATGCTACTTAAAAGTAGATTTTCTACTTATATTTCAAATATTTATAAGCTTCCCACAACCTATCTATAGACGATTTTGTTATTTGGAAAGCAGTAGCAGATGTAGTATGGAGCAAATATAATTAGTCCCGCATCACTAACCTTGGTAATACCATGGTTTGATCTTTAAGCAAGCCATAAGTTTGGCCTACTATCAGCTTATCTAAAAACCCCACATGCTAAAAATCCTCAATATACCACAGGGGAAAGACACAAGAAAAACATAAAGCAGCAAACAATGCCAAAGAACCACAATGCTAATCGAATACGATACACAAAGTAAGATGAGTCCAGTAAAATGGCAAACCAAAGATCACCCAAAACAAACTTATGATACAAGATTATCTCCGTGATAAACAAAACTTAAAGTGTAATTTTTGCATTAAAAATGGGTAAAACCGCTACTTGAGGTAGCGATTTTGCCTTAAAACCGCTACTTGAAGTAGAGGTTTTACTCCATGATAAACGAAATTTGTTTATCACGGAGGTTAACCAGGGCAGCCTCCTATCCCCATGCTAGAAACTAACTTTCTTTTTTCCTATACATTCATAAAATTTGGAAATAGAAGGTGCTTCAATTTGCCTAACCAAAATCTTCTAAGCAAATGAATTCTCAAAATGACAGTTTCGTGATACGATGAAATCAGTAATTCAACAATATGACTTCAAAAGCAAGAACTTAACATTTATAAACCCTAACTACAAAGTAAAAATAAAACTTATCAATATCAATCAACAATAGTGCTTTGCAAAATTCAATTCAATACTCAAACATAAAACAAACCCAATTACAGTGTACCAGAGATAAGGTGCGAATTTAGACTTTATCAAGTAGTAATTGATAAAAATAATTTTAAAAAATTTAATCTATAATCGGCAGAACACAATTAAACCATAAAAATATAAAAAAAATCAAGAACAGATAAACATAGTAAACAAGCAATTCAATTGAGAAAACAGAGAAAACAGATTTTAAAGAAACTCATAGGGAGAGATAGAGGATGATTACCTGGCGAAGAAATCCATTGAAGATGAGCTTTGACTTTGAGCCTTGGATCAACATTACCGACGATGATGTCCGTCATTAATGTCTTTATACTCCGTACACTCCCATTTAGAGGGGTCATTTTGGTACATGAGTCGGGTTAGGTAGGTCACATCGGGTAAGGTGTATTTAGAGAATTAGAGTTGAATCATACAAAATTAAGCCAATTGACCAAATTGGTGAGTGAAAAAAAAAAAAAAAAAAGTATTTTTGTCTAAATTGATATTTTGGCTCGAAGCTCGCTCATACTTCCTGATAATATCAGCAATTTTGGAGCATTCCTGTAAAATAGCTCTCGTAAACAGTATACTATCATCTGCAAAAAATAAGTGAGAAATTCTGGGAGCAACCCTACAAACTTTCGCACCATGTATATCTTTTTCCTTAGCCGCCTTATTTAACAAACAAGAAAAAGCATCAGCACACAATAAGAATAGATACGGGGATATAGGGTCGCCTTGTCTCAGCCCCCTCGAAGGTGTGACAGCACCATAAATCTCATTGTTCAGTTTAAAAGAGAAAGCCACCTTCGAAATACAATCCATCACCCTATTGCACCACCCATCGGAGAAACCCAGCTTCCTCATAACTTTCTCCAAAAACATCCATTCCACCCTGTCATAAGCTTTACTCATATCCAACTTCAAAGCCAAAGTCCCCGATCTTCCCTCCCCTCCCCTCTTCATGGCATGAAAAATCTCAAAGGCAACAGTAGCATTGTCTGTTATGAGGCGCCCTGGCATAAAAGCGCTCTGATTTGCAGAAATGATGGTGTTCAGGAAGGGTTTTAGCCTATTAGCTAGAGTCTTCAATATTATCTTATATAGGACATTACAACAACTAATAGGCCTAAAATCCTTCATGTGCTTAGGTTCATAGCATTTTGGAATTAGGACAATACAAGTCTTATTCAACATAGTAATATCAAAATTCCCTTCCCACCAATTTTTAACCATACAGACAATATCATGACCAACAATATGCCAGAATTTTTGAAAAAATAAAGCATGCATACCATCGGGGCCAGGGGCTTTGTTAGGATGCATCTGGAATAAGGCACTCTTCACTTCATCAGCTGTAGGAATTTTATCAAGGCAATGATTCATTTCAATAGTTACTTGTGGCATCACACCTTGCAGCGCCTCTTCTATGTCCGAGGGATTATCAGAGAGGAAAAGGGATTCAAAATAAGATGAAACAGTACTTTTGATTCCCTCCTCATCCTCTCGTCATACGCCCATAGAATCATAAATGCCATCAATCCAATTTCGTACATGTCTGTAACTCGCCTTTTTGTGAAAATAAGCAGTATTTTTATCCCCATCTTTCATCTCATTTGCTCTAGCTCTTGCAAACCAATAAGATTCCTCCATCCTCCTCAACTCGGCAATCTCCTCCGCAAGACTCTCGCACTTCATAAGTGAAGGACCATCCAAGACCGCCTCTTGTGCCTCTCTTAATTCATTTTCACGAGCTTTCAATTTCTTTCTTACATCCCCAAACTTCTTACCAGCCCATGAGGTAAGGGAGCTTGCACATAGAGCCACTTTTTCATGCGGCAGAGCTGCTATATTACCCTTCCATGCCGTATCAACCACTTCTTCACATTCTGCACTAGATAACCACCAAGCTTCAAAACGGTACGGCCTGCTTCTTTTTCCTCTATCAAAAACGACATCAGTATTCATCATTATGGGCGCATGATCAGAAGCTATTCTCACCAAATGTTTAACCTCAAATTGGGGAAAAAGCTGGCACCATGCATCATCCCCTAAGAACCTATCAAGGCGTTCTCGGATTACAGTGTCCATTGTTTTCCCACGTTGCCAGGTAAAAGCACAGCCTTTAAACCCCATGTCTCTCAAGTTGCACGCATCAATGGTCTCCCGAAAATCCTGCATAAGGTGCTCTCTCCTCATTATACCCCCTTCTTTCTCCATAGAGCTGTTAAAAAAGAAAGTAACCTTCACGACAATTTGGTAAAAAATTACTCTCGCGACAATTTGGTAAAAAGAGTTAAGATTTATGCAACAATTTGGTTAAAAAAAAAAAAAAAAAAACCAGGCGACATTTAGACCAAAAAAATCTGCTTCTTTTCGGCAAACTCTTCAAAAGTCCTAATTAAATTGTTTTGTGTTTTTTTAAATTTATTTTTTTCATTTAAAATTCAAAATTATTGTGTCATCTCCTTTTTATTTTGCTAAATTTTGAATTACATAAATTTATTTCCAACCCTTTTTAAAATTAAAAAAATGGTTAATTGTTAATAATGGGTAGGAAAATTAATTGAAAATTAGTATTTAAACCTTTTTTTTTTCCTTCAAATTTTATTTCCCAAGGGTTGGAAATTTAGGTTATACCACGAAAACGATAGCAATAGCAAGAAGTTTATTAAAAATTTTGAATTTTTAGGCTTAATTGTCACCTGTGAGTTTTTTTTTTTATTTTACCAAATTGTCGCTTAAGGTTAAGTTTTTTTACCAATTTGATGCTAAGTTTAGTTTTTTTTTTTTTTTTTTTTTTTACCAATCTAGTCAATTGTCCTACAAAATTAAAGCCTGCATTTAGTTTGGTTAATTTAAAATTGAATCATGCCAAATTAACGCATTCGTTTAAAATTCAAATTTATACATGATTAGTGACATGAAAAACCGGTTAATTATTTTAAAAAACAAATAATATTATTCATGTGTCTTTGGTTGGCTAAGGTTGGTTTTTTTAGGGTGGGGGAAGAGTTTAGGGCGGTTTTGGGGTGTAGAAAGGGAGTCGGGGGTAGGGGAAGGGATGAGGAGTCGATTTTGGAGTGAGGGAAAGGAGAGGAGCCAATTTTCGTGGTGGGGGAAAGGAAAGGTGGCCGACTTTCATGGTGGGGGAAAGGTGGGGGAGCGTTTTGGGGTAGGGGGAAGGGGGGTTGTTTTCGTGGTAGGGGAGGGGTGGTTTTCGAGGTAAGGGGAAAGTGAGAGGGGTTGGTTTTAGCGTAGGGTAAAAGGAGGGGGTGGTTTCCAGGTGGGAGAAAAGGAGGGGCAGGTTCTGATGGTCGACCTCGGTAAGGGGGTTGTTTTCGATGGTAGGGTTGGGGAAGGGGGGTCATTTTAGGGATTGGTGCTAGGGTGGGGGGTTGGACGTCGACAATGGGGATAGTTTCTTGTTAATGTTTAGATTTTGGTTTTTTTTTTTTGCTCTTTTTTTACCAATAGATTAGTGGCATGTGTCTAATGACCTATTATAACAGGCTTGATAACTGTGAGCCCTGATAAAAGTCAATCCTCCTAAAATTGACATTATTCAATAATAAACCAATGTTGGGATTAATTAAAGTACCGCAAAAGTTGGTATTATTTAAACCAATTTTTCTAAAATATACAATACTCCCACCGTTTCTTGAGTTCTACTCAATGACTAAAGCTATGCAAACAAAATAAAATGTATGGGTACATTTTATTTAATCTAATAATTAAACTCAATAAAGTGGGGTTATACATAATTGAAAAAAAAAAGTTGTCATTATAAGAATAAAGTAAAAGTAAGTAGAATTTAGGAAAACATATGAAAACGAAAAATATGTAGAACTAGGAAACAGAGGAAGTATACTGTAATATCCCGTATTTTTATACGTATTTTAATTTAAATAAGTATTTCTTAAAGTATTTAAATAATTCGAAATGAATTATTTATGGTTTTTCATTAATTTAAAAAGAATTATTTTAATTAAAAGTTTATTTTTAATAATCTTGAAAATATTTTATTTCAAGATTTGGAAATATTGGGGCATATTATTTTGTAAAAGGAAATATTTAAGTCAATGTGTTTTTAAAGAAAGTCAAAATACTAGTTTGACTAGGAAAGGGATCATTAAAGGTAGTAAAGGAATTTTAAGTAGGAGGGTTATTGAGAGAGAGTATAAATACCCACCATATGCCCAAGGTGGAGTGCACCCAAAGGTAAACTCTCTCTCTCCTCTTATTTTCTTTTCCCCTTAATTTTTCCCCTTCCCCTTTATTTTATCTTTGCTTCAATCACCACCCACACACCACCACACACGTCGGCCACCATCACACGCCGTCGGCCACCACTGCAACCACCAGCAGGCGCGCGGCAACAGCCCTGCTGTGGTGTCGATGCTGCGGTATTCGAAAAAAAATTATTCTTTTTGATTTTTAATTAAATCTACCCTTAATCTAATTATTGTTTTGGTTTTTGTGATGTTTTTTATGATGTTTGATTTTAAGTATGAAGTATATAAATTTTCAGATTTGGTTTTTAATTAAAAAGCCCCAAATTATAAACCCTAGGTTTCTAAGTTTATGTATATTGATGGAAATTGTTAATGGATGATTTAAATTATTGAAATAAGTGTTTTCTTGAAAGGATTTTTAATTACACATTAATTGGGAATAAAAGTAAGGGTTTTAAATTAAATTTTAGCTTGTTTTAGAGAGTCTATGAGTGATTTAAAGAGTGTATATATTGCTGGAAATTTAGGTGGAATAGGTGTTAATGCCTCTTTGTAATTTTGGTTTGTAGGAGACTTTCAAGTGAGTGATTTTATTTAGTCGTGGCGATTTTGAGATCATATTCAATGTACGTTCGCATACGTGGTAATTATTTGAATATGTCGTAGAAGCATGCTAGGCTTTGTTTAATTAATTCCAAGTAGTATCATGATAGGTACGGTGTTGGTTGGAATTTGTTGATTGGATTGATGTTGGTAAATGATTTGTGATGTATGAATTATTTGTGATGAATTGGTGATTGGAATTAATTATGTTGGCATGTTGATTATGAACCACACTTTTATTATTGGCATGATAGGGAGCATGTTTAATTAAACTAAATGTTTAATTTGGTTTGGAATATGAAAAGGAAATTTTATTATGGTTCATATAATTTTTAGGAAAAATTGCTTTAAATAATACGAACTTTACCCCGTCCGCTAAAAACAAGTTGAACTTTTGTTTATTTCAGAATAATACGAACTTTGGGGGGTGTACGCTTTAAACAGGTTATTTACCTACAACCTGAGTAACCGGTTAATTTTTTTTTTCTTTTTAATAAATTCATTTAACAATGTAATTAAGATTGTAATTAATCTTAATAACAACTTTAATTATGATTTTATTAATAATTAAATAAAAAAAACTTTAAATTAAAAAAAAAAAAACCCCTAACCAAGCCCCCCGGAAACCACCCCTAAACAACCCCCCACCCCACTTGACTACCTCCCCCACCAGAAACCATCCCCCTCCCAAGCCCCCATCCCTGTTTCCAACCCCCACTCCCCTCCTCGTCCCCGTTTCCGGCCCCCTCCCCTTCTCGTCCCCGATTCCGACCGCCCTCCTTTCCCCATCTTAGATTCCGGCACCCCCTCCCTTTCACGCAAGATGAGTTTCGTTTTCCGGCATGTGGGGGTTCGGTTTCGGGTTTGGGTTTGGATGCTTTGGTTGTGGGTTTTAGGTATGTGGGGCGCCGGATCGCAATGGAGGAAAGGGTGGGGGGGTCATTTTCGGGAAGGGGAAGGGGAAGGGGAGGGGATTCGTTCAAGGGTGGTGGGTAGGTGTCAGGAAGGGAAGGGTAGGGGTACAGGATGGGCTGGGTGGTCAGGGTGGGTTGGCCGATGTGAGGGAGGGGCATGGGGCGGCGGTAGGGGGTGGTGGCTAGGTTGGATAGTCGGAGGGGGGAGGCTGGCAGGGTGGCTGGGTAGGGGGGAGGATTTTTTTTAATATTATTACCTATTAAAAAATAAAAATATTAAATAAAAAAACAAATTAAATTTTTTAACCCAATTAAACATTGACACGTATCCCATATACCTATTAATCAAGTCAACAACAGGTCATAACCTGTTTAAAGCGGACACCCCCCAAAGTTCGTATTATTCTGAAATAAACAAAAATTCAACTTGTTTTTAGCGGACGGGGTAAAGTTCGTATTATTTAAAGCAATTTTTCCTAATTTTTATTGATGCTATAAGCATGATGAAGGAGCTATTTAAGTGTCTTAGTACATAAGAATAAATTATATTGCGGTGCTTATGTGCACTTAAGGTGTTTCTAACACCGAGCGGGATAAGATTTGCGGTGCATTATGCGTTTAAGATGTCTTTGACACCGAGGTAGATTAAAAAGGGTTCAACAATTAAATTTATGTGGTCACTAATTATTCAAGAATTAAATTGGTATGTTTGATTGCTTGAATGATTTATTATGATTGATTGTGTTATGGTTTAGAGTCATCACCAAGTATAATAATATGTAAACAACATAAAGAGAAAGAGATTGCGCACCAAAACTCTTGGAGCGTATATACCTTGAGTATGAACATATGGGGGGAGTTATGGGGTTTTATAATTAACCATGACTTCTACTGGGAGTACAGGACGCTGTATTTTCCTTTTTTTATATATGCGCAGGATGTCTAGTCACTTTATGTGACATTTGTCTACCCGGTTAGCTCCCAGTGTAGTTTACCTCAATTTATTTGACGCAGGGATTTGGTGAGAAACCCGTTCGATGCGTAATCAAATTAAATAAGCAATTTAGTTATTTATTTATTTATTGGTTGGTTGTGTTGTATGTTGTATGCTTATAAACAGGTGTAACAAGGTAAGTTGTGTGTTGATAGGATGAAAGCATGTTAGTGTGTTTTAGTTACGCTTATGTACTCAGAATTGTTGATTGTGTGTGTTGTATGTTTGTTTGAACTTGTCTTTACCTTGGCCCTACGACGACCCATTTCTAATGGCGAGTAGTGGGGACAAGTAGAGAGAAGCTTTTCAGGTGATAAGCCGTGCTTTGTGCATGTTTGTTGTCTTCTTTTTAGTTGTTTTTATTAGTCTTGTTTAGTATTTTAGTCCATTTTGGTTTGATTTGGTTTAGTTTCGATGATTCGATGCTTTTATGGGTAGTTTCGTTGTTTTTGATGTATTTCAGGATTAACGAAG